ACCACAGTATTGAAACATTAATTAATCTGCCTCAGAGAAAAACATGTTTAAATATGGAAGAGATGTGGGGTGGAGAAAAGGGAGAGGAGGGAGATGTAAACAGGAATGATGATGTAGTATGTATGTGTACCAACTTCCTATGAGGGAAATATATTTTAATACTATACATGTGATCATATATAACATAAAATAATACATGCAATTATGTTAATAAAATATAAATTGAAAATATAAATATAGATGTTAAAATAGCTTCATTTGAAAAATACTAATTAGAATTTGAAAGAATGTTTTTTCTGAAGGGGGTGAATGGAGGGCAGGGGAATGGGGAAAAAAATAGGAACCAAGATATATCATGTAAAGGTACAAGATCCCAATGATGAATCTAGTAACTGTGTTGTATACCTAAAATGTACCAACAAACTTAATGGGGAAAAAAAGAGTTTGAAAGAATGGAAATGTAATATTTTATATGCTGTTTAGTTCAGGGGCATTTGGGATTATGAAACATTTTCAGTAGTAAAAGGTTTTAATATATAACAAGAATTTTATTTTAGTATTCATCTTTCTATGTGATATCTGTGCCAGAAGGCTATAAAATCACCCCACTTTAGAGTCTTGAATAAAAATGATAAACTAAAGATATTAAAGCTCAAAGAGATGAACATTTTCTATATATTTTACTCTAATAAAAAAGGAAATTATTGTTTAATCAGTTTACCAGATGAGTTTTGAATTTGGAAGAGGCTGCAGCAGGTTTAATAGTGTCAATGTCTTTGGCTTGTCTCTTTTCACAGAGAAATTGTAAAAGGTCTCTGGGAAAGAAATCAAACAGATGCTCAACTCCTAAATTTAAGAAAATGCCTAATTTAGAGTGTGTTTAACACCTTTTTATTTTCATTAGTAAAAGCATAACTTGAAAATATTTTTCTTTCTTATTTCATTATCATCTACTACCTTCTTGTTTCCTAAGAGAAATAAAGCTTAATGAGATATTCTAATATAACAATGGAAATTCTTAAAAGAAAATTAGCATGTTTTTTCCTGAAGGGATTTACAGATTAATTTGTCCAATCACTGCACAGAACAAGAGAGGAAATCAAAGAAATGTTTTCAGCTAATGGAAAGAGTTGTTTTTTTCCTGCACAGCAATTACACAGGGAGCCTTGGCTGGCTTCTCCCAGGGTGGCTTTTGTAGAAGTGACTCCCTGCACAGAGCACAAACATCAATAGGAAAACGAGGGCAGGAAAACATGCAAAGGACACCCTAGGCAGAAAATGCCTTTCCTGCTCTTTTAATTTCATTTTTTTGTGTTGCCTTTACTAAGGACTGAGCATAGGATAATTAGAATATATACAAGATTATTGTGACTTCCTTATGTTCATACAGGCTGGAAGAGCTTATATAGACTCCAGAGACATTTCTCTACTTTCCCTTGCACAGCTACATAGAAGGAAAAACAAAAGAAAAAATGACAGAGGTGATATGAATACACATCCCATAAATAACTTCAATAATTTGTATTCTATTTTACATCAAGCTGTAGTTATCATACTGAATTTCACACAGTTATTAATTACTACAGTTTCCTTTGGAGTAATTAAATCTTTTGGTTCAATACATAGCTTTTTTTAAGAGTAGGAAAAGTTCATTGAGGGAAAGAGAAATTTATTGAGAGACAGAAGGGGGACCAGAAAGTGGGTTGCCTGCTCACCCCACTTCTCCAAGATGTTTTAGACAGCCAAGTCCTGTGGTGAGGTGGGTACAAAGTGAGACAAAACTGTAAGACCCAGTGGAAAATTACAACGTGGGCATGAGGTGGGGCAAAACCATGACCAACCAATAAGATTACAAGGACAGTCACCCAGGTAATATTGACTAAATGGGGTCAAATTGGGGAGCAAGTCCCATAGCAAGCACACAAGGATTTTCAGTAAGGGTGGGGGTCAGGGATATTTCCTGGAAAGGCTGGGTTAAGACCTTGGCCCCCAATCCAGGTGATTAACCAATTTAGAATATCAACTGTGGCTATTTATCTCTAGGGGAAGCACAAGAGTGTAGTAGTTTCTCTCCTTTTACAATTCTGGCCACAGTAAATGTGTTTTTATTGTCCTCCATGTTGGCTCCTTACTGTGTTGGCTCCTTGAGGGCAGCCCTGTCTAATTACCTACAAGATATCTAATTAACTTATTTATCTGCAATATTTCCCCCTCTGAAGAAGTTCCCCTAAGTGCTGTGAGGGGGGAAAAGGATGAAGACAGCACTGGCTATTTCTCATTGAAGAGGGTCATAGTTTTCGTTATATACTTTAAAGGTTCTATGATATGAATATGTATATCCAAGAATGGCATTTGGAAAGCAAGTATAACTAGTATACTTTTCAAATTATCCTAAGAAGTCTGAGTTATGGCATAGGAATGCATCATTTATTCATCTTGTGACTGTTGTTACAAACAGCTATTGTTCAGGTCAATGAAAATTCATTCTCCTTAAACCAGAATGCAATATGACTAATATGATGTGAAAAGCAACTGAAGATGTTGGGAAAGATGCCCACTACTGAATTGTCAGCAAAGCTTGAACACACTGAGAAACTGGAGTTTGAGAAGGTCATGGGTGATCTATATCAACAGAAGACATAACCTCACACACAACCAAAGTATGAAGGAAACAACCATCAGAAAAGGGAGATAATGGAATTGGATATATGTGTCAAGATAGAAGATCCTAGGTTGAAAAAGATAGAAGAAAGGTTAAATGGTGGAGTGATACTTCTTTCTAACTTAAATTGTGCTTCCCAGAAAGTAGACTTAATCCTTACACTGAGAAAGAGAGAGAGAGAGAGAGCACAAACTGTAATTATAGTAATCATTTCTCATACAATAATTTAGGAAAATTCTATTATCCCTTGGCTCCCTGACCTGCTGCAGGTAGCTAAGAACTTCTGTCTCTACCAAACTATTGTTCCCCATGTTAAAAAGACTACAGTCACCATGATATTCAATTTCATAAAGTACCGTGGCCTAAAAGGAATGTGAATATAGAGTACAAGATACAGCGTTACTGGAACTGACCAAACTTTTCCTACTCAGAGAAATGTTCAGCTCCTAGAAAAGTCCCTATTTAGTTTTGATCCAAAAACACCTTAACCAGGCACTGTGGAAAGGCCAATACGTAGTGAAGATTTAGGTAAAAAAAATCTCTTATTTCTTTTTCTATACAATCTATATCTAAATGTTATCTATATGTGTCTATATCTATGTAGCAGACTTAGCCTTAAGAAATACAGCCAGAAAGTAAGCTCATTAATACAGGGCTTCCTATAACTCCTGACCAACATCATCCCAGGAAGCAAAACATAGTATGCATAAAGAGGTCAGCATTTCAGAGCTGGGTGACAATACCTGCTGCTGTGAACACCACTATCCACGCTGGAAGGGAAAACTGGACTGTGACTGTTGGGGGTTACCTAGCTTCTTTTTCCTGGGGTCCATGTAAGAAAGGGAGTAATGAGGAATTTTTGAAAACTTCCAAAATGTCACTACTCTTTTTTTTTATGCGCTCATCAAAAAAAAATTAAAGCCAATTCTGTCTTCATGTATCTCACTTCAAATAACGCAAATAGTGCCTCAGCAAAAGGTAAATGAGTCTTTGAGAAGATCACTTAGGCAAGAAAAGGGTTAAGACCTCACTCATAAAGACCATTTAATTTTAAATTAACTGCTCTCTAAAGAAATTTGTGTAGAATGACTCTACAGAATACCCACAAAGGCTGAATTGTTGGACTTTATAATGGAACACATTGACCAGGAAGAACCGGAAGTCAAAGGGATAAGAATCCTTAGCTGAGGTGTTTTCCATCTTGCCTATGGAGTACTCAACACCAGTAGATATAATAAGCCACACAGAATACACATATCACAGCACTAAGATATTCCCGAAGAAAGGGAGAAATGGCAAGGATCGAAACAATGATTGTCTCATGGATTTGTACTTGTCTCGCTGGGACCACGTCACAGCAGGTCCTCCAGTCAGATTCATCGCCCTAAAAGAATGTTAGAGTTCAAAAGGTGACTATGAAAACACTCATTGTCGTCTGCACCTTTTTAGAGGCTCTGACATTCTGCTTTCTCTACTAATTTTAGTTTTGATTCAATCGAGCTTTGAGAAGTTAGCTGTTATTTTGTGTTTCTAAAATAACCAAGGTGATACAATAAACTTTTCTGGATTTGAAGAAGCAAGTAAGACACAATCTCTACTTTCAAAGCAACTTACAATAAATATATTTATTATAAAATATATTCTCTATCAGGGGGTATTTATAAAAGACATATTAAAGAAGTCAGCAAACTTCTAAGGTCATTCAAATATAATTATTTTAACTTGCATTTCTTATTGCTCTGACATGCAAAGTTAAAGAGTTTATGTAAGTGACATTTATTAATACATTAATTGATGAAATAATAAAAGTTATCAACCCCGTTCTACAAAATTTCAGTGTTCAAACATTCAAAGCAAGAACACCACCAGCAGCAAAAAGTTTTCAGTTCTGACAGCATTTATGCTCTATTCATAATATGAATGAGAAAATACTGTCAAAAACTTCTTTAAGCTAGCTAATATTTAAAGTAGGAAAAAAATCTCTTAGTTTTAAAAAAATATTTGTTGCTTAACTATGGGATATTTAAAATGTTTTATTCTAACCTAAATGATATTCCTATTTTCTGCACATCACGGCTACACATGTTATTTTCTTTGGCATTTATTATTTGAATAAAACTATTGTCCTGGATATCTTCACCATTAAATTTTGAGACATAGCATCTGTAAAAAGCTGGGGGCTGGAGAATATTCACAATAGATGACTTCCAATTAAAATATGAGACCCTCGAATACCTTTTCGTTAGACTTCAGAGTGGGAATTTATTTGTTATATACTAAGAACAGAGGGTCAAATAAGTGCTTAATACATTTACTGTTTTATTTCTGCTATTTTTAGGTAGATCTCTTGAGAATCTGGTCAATGGCAAGGAAAAATCTTGGTAAGTAGCTGCACAAATGTGGTACCAAATGGACATACAACATTCATTGCACCTCCACAACATTTTCTCTTGCTCCAAACACAGAAATCTCGATGTGTGATCTCCATGAATATTGCACAATAACTGGCCTCCGTATGGTTAAAGGCAACAATCACATGGTGCTACTCAGGCTGCTCTATGCAGGACCTTATGAAGAAAAAAGCTTCTTGATATGCAATGCATGGAAAAATTTTTTATGTGAATGAGAGCTGTTCAGTGTCATAATATCCTCTGGCATTGAAGAAGCATTAAACGTACTAAAGACACAAAAACTATGCTCTTTCTACATTACAAAACATTAAATTATACTAACAGTTATATTAATTACTCTAAGAAACAGATGCCAAAACAGAGTTAGATATGCAAGACATTTCTTTCAGAAAATACCAAGGAAGAAAAAGAGGAAGAAACAGTGTGCAGACTTCAGAGTTGATACAAATCTGGTATCCATGAAGAAAGCAAAGAAAAATAGATCAGATAGGAAATGTTAAATGCAGCCTGGGGTGATTTCACTCAAGCAGATGGGAAGTACTCAAACTGAGTTTTACATTGAAAGAGTCTTAAAATCCAACAGGACTGGTCCTAAAGTATTCTTATTTCTACTCATATGTATGTGGGCCAGCATTGATTACACAGAAGTGATGACACTCTATGTCACTAATGATTGTGTCAGCTTTGCAAGAAAATTAATGTCCTCATACCAGGGGATAAACTCAGGATCTTCACACAGAGTTACATCACCACCCCTTTTCTGTATGTTTTATTTTGAAACAGGTTCTCACCTACTTGCTAAGTTACCCTGGCCAAGCTTGAACTGGTGATTCGCTTGCTTCCATATCCCAAAGTGCTTGAATGAAAAACAGTTTTTCACATGGCTGGAAAGCAAATCAAGCTAATAGAATCTCATCTTAGTTTCTATGTCTATTTTCCCATTAGAGATCCATGCAGTGGGTTCTGATCTCTTGCTCAGTACTATGATGGTTAAAAGAAAAACTCAAAGACAGAAAAACTAAAGAGACAGAGATATCGGGAGCCAGGATGATGAACGCTCCTGCAAGCAAGGCTGAACAAGCAAAGATTCTGAACACCCCAAACTGTCCATATTTATTGGGGAGTTAGACTGAGGCAAAGGGGCTATGTGGAAAGACTAAATGGAGTTGCTATGGATACATTGATGATGCAAGCAAGGCTTGTGAAGAAAGAGACAAAACATTCTTGAATTAGAAACAGAACAAATAAAATAGAGGTTGTGGTTAATAGTTAACCTGGTGTTTTCAGTAAATAAGGTTTTAACTCTGGGAACGGAATTTGGGTAAAAGTCACTGTGACCTAGGCACATAGGCTTCAGCGGGACTTGCTTCTCAAAACGAGCCAATTGTGAGGTTAATTCTTTACAGCCTGCACTGCTTACACCTGCTTTAGGCACAATCAATGGGACGGTCCCCCACATTTTCCATCTTTTTCTCCAGTCTATTCACTTATAGATAGGAATTTATAAATGCGCATTGTATACCTATTCTTGCAAACTTCTTTGTTCCCCTTTCCACTTTTTTGCCTTTACATTTTTATTGTGATTCCCTTAGAATATTTCAGATGTTGCCAGCTAAAAAGAGGAAAAGGAGTTATAGGGAAAGAATCATAATAATCGCTTCTTAGCCTTTTGGCTAAGATCAAGTAAAAGAATCAGAGTTGGAATGATAGAGATAGTCCAACATTAAATCTCATTTTCTCCAAACCAAGACTCTCTTTTCTTCCTGCTAATTCTTATGTCCATTTGTATGATCTTTTTCTTGATTTTGGTAGGAGATTAGATATTAAGGTTAATTAATATACTGACTCCTCTTATTTTGGAAGAGGAGTGTTTTAGTGTGCTACTCCTTTCTCATTTAAAGTGATAACAACAAAAATGTCTGTTCAAACATTTGCTTCCAGAGCACATTAGTAAGTAGTTTTCTGTTTAACAGTCATAACAACACTAGGATTTAGGATTTTATCATTTAATTACATAGATATAAAAATACTGTTTTAACTTTCTTTGGTGACAAAAATATTCAACTCTGTGTGAAAAAATATATAAAATACCCAACTTTGATTATCTCATACTTTAAGGCCATCTGAATGGGAGGCAACCTAGTTAATGTTGTGTATGTGAGATTCTTCTGTTTTTCTTATGCAGACTCTAAAAATGGAACAGTTTGTAATGCTCAAGTAAGTGTTAAATATATTCCAAGTGTTTAAAATAAATTGTGCATATGTTTACAATAGAAATATCATTGTTTTGAAATATCTTTTATCACCTGGTATATGTTGGATACTTTTCATATCAGTAATTAGGTATCTACATTACCACTCACACTGAAACTATATTATTTAAAAAATTAGGCATCACATAATTTATCAATCACTGACTTTGTGACCTCTACATTGTTGATAGATTTCCTCTATTATAAGGATTAGTAAGTGGAGACATAAGAAAGGATATGTTATTGTGAGATAGAGAAAGCGAGCTGTCTATGAACCAAGAAGTGATTCCTCACAGACACGGAACCTGCTGGCTTCTTGGTCTTTGACTTTCAGACTCCAGAAGGTGTCAAATACATTGTCAGTGATTATGAGTTACTCAGTCTGTGGTGTTTTCTTATAGGAGACAAACTGATGCCCCATTTTAGATAATAAGAACTACTTGAAATCTGTTTATACCTTTTCTAGAGGTTCCCAAAACACCATTGTTGAAAAATTATCCCAAACTAGAATACATAAACTACAGAGTGATTGGTTAAGATAACTAGAGAAAGACTTAAGTGGATTTAGAATCAATTTTATTCAATTAGATTTTAAGATAATGGTGTTCAGTTTCATTCCATTGATGCTTCACTAAGTATATGAGAAGTAAATATTATTATAGTTATTTCCTACCTTTACTTCAATATTCTTCTTTTTCACATTTTTATTTTTTGATGTTCTCGCCATTTTTTATATCAGAAAGAAGCCAGCAGTTAAGAGAACAATATATTATATGAGGATAGATTTTTCTGAAGACAAAGTTATCTAATGAAGTAAAAGAAGAAAGTAAAGTTTACCCCTTATAATTCCCAGGAGCACATTTCTGTTATTCCATATGCTACTGACATATTTTTTCTCAATTTTAAAACTCTAAGTGGATCTCTATGGTGTTTATTTCTAGTTGTTTTTTTTTTTAATGTGACTGGGACTTGAGATAATGTATCTTTTTGTAGTCACTGCACATAAAATTTTAATGATTTCTAAAAGCATTTATTAATTGTACTCTAGAGCTGGTAATGGAGGTATAAATACATAATATAATGAAGGAGCTATTTCTCAGAAGCATTATTCTGTGCTCTGAAAGTTTAAACCATATACTTAAATTATTAAAAATGAATAAAAGATGTGGTGCTATGGGCTTGTGTCCTTCCAAAAGATATGTTGAGATGCTAACCTTTAGTCAGCACTTCACAATGGGACCTGATGTGCAAAGAGGGTCATTGTAGACTTAATTAGTTAAGTTGCAATTTTGTCATCCAAATGGGATGGGCCACATATCCCTTATGGCTGGTAATTTTCTAAGAAAATGGCCACTTGTAAGCAGAGACTCACTAGAAGAAACCTGAATGACACCAAAAGCAGGGATCGGAGTCAGGCTGTTGAAAGCAAGGAAGATAGGATGGCCAGCAAAACACCTGAAGCTAGAATAGGCAAGGCAAGATCCTTGTCCGTGTTTCAGAAGGATCACATTGTTTGGACCTAAATATTTCATTAAAAAGAACCATTAGAGTTTCTTTCATTGTCAAAGAATGCTAAAAAAAATTACTACAGATAAGTGCACCCTAAAGTGAGAAAATGCAGACTTTTATATAGTAAACTTTTAAAGTATTTTACATAGGACTGATGATGGCTTATTATCCCCAACTATTCTAGAAACAATTCATAAACATAAAATAAACAATTCAGCCATGAAAATAATTTAGGAAATGGAGTATGTCTCTGTAAAAGTTTTTTTTATTCAACAGAAAAGAAACTCAACTTTATGAAATATTTTAATTTCTAGGCATTTTAGTTATAACTTTTAAATAATCACATTTTTCCTAATAGAAGGTCAATAAATCATTTTTAGTCTTCTGTAACATTGCAGAGTAAGGGCAGTATTATAATATTCAGTATTGGCAAACATCGTGTACCACAATGGAAGGAGAGAAATATTTCAGAATTTGGAGCCAGGTGTATAAGAAGATACACAAAATAATATGTATTATTGTCTAACCATTCTTGTCCAATTCTTGAAATTATTCTAAGGAGTTGTTAGGTAGTATTCATGTTTAAGTATACTATTTTAATATTCTTTATAGACAAAATTGGTGTCAAAGGAGTTTCCATTTATAGGAAATTCCTTGAACAAACATTGTCACATAGATGATATTTATCACATAGAATATATGTAGCATATGCATATATAAACTCAGATTCATACAGGAAAATAAAAATGTTTCTATAGATGTTTAGAAAAAGGAAAGCAACAGAGTAGCTGTAGGTCTGAGGAGAAGGAACTTACAGACGGAGCGGTGATGTTAGAAAGCCCTGATATCTGGACCGCATATAATTCTGACCCTATGCAACCGGAGAAGCCAAACGGAACAGTGTTGCCCAGAGGACAAAATGCTGTGGCCCCAGCCTCGCTCCGGTGATGACCGCCAGCGCCTCCTGGAGGGACAGTAGGATTCGTGCTCCACGTCACTGATCCTAGTTGTCACTATGGAAACAGCTCACAGTAATCTACAGTCGCCTGCTGCTCCTGCAAAGAGAAACACAAAGAGCGCCTTGCGGAGGCCTGGGCAGCACCGCAGATGCCACTGCTCTTGGAAGCCGCTGGCCCAGCGGAAACCTGGAGGCCAGGTTTACCTGCCACCCACTGAACCATTTTCAGAGATGGAAAAGGGTCGGCTCACTCTTTTCCCCCTTGGAAAGTACCCTCCAGGGGCTCTCTTCGGGAAACTAAGGTAAAGTCAGTTTTTAAATGTGTTCAGATAATATAGGTTATTAGCCTTCATCTTTCCTACAGCATGGAGAATACAGAACAATGATAAATCAAAGACGATCAGTATACCACATAATGTAATCACATACAAGTTAATAAGAAAATGAATTTGTCTGTGCTTTCACTTGAACGTGGGTTCACAATATTTACATTTAAAATCAGCACGTTTTTGTTTTGTTTTGAGACAGGGTCTTGCTATGTAGTTCACGTTGGCCTCGAACTCACGGTGATCCTCCTGCCTCAGCCTCTGGAGTGCTAGGATTACAGAAGAGCGACACCACACCCAGCTCCTAAAATAAGCAGTTTTGAAAATAATCAGTATAAAACACACTAACTGTACATCTATATTTCATAGGAATGATTAAGTACAAGAAAGTAAAGCTATACAGAAATATTTCTTTCTGATCACTTTGTTTACTTATATGATAGATGTACTTTTTTAACATGCTTAATTTTGAAACGTGTTTCTGTATCAGTGCAAAATGGTCTGATGAATTATTTTGAAATTACCAGTTGCTATTTGTGAAATATTTCTATTATGCAGCATGTATTTAACCACTTAACAGTTTACCCAAGGGTTACTCAGGCAGTACTTTTGTTTACATGCTATCCCAAGTGTTACCTGGGCGGGTGCCATGGCAGCCAGTCCATTTTTTTTATTGAATGAATTGATCAAATTTTCTTTTTTCTACTTCTTGCTATATTGTAAAAATTAATGGAAAATGTAATATTTGGTCATCATGTCTTTAAATAATTGGACTGGTAAGTGATTAAAAGAAAACCATTTTATTCTAAGAAATATTTAGTGATATTTGAAGATACTTATGATTCTGCTTATTGTACTATTCAAACTTTCACTGTTTGTATGTGCATAAGAGCCAGATTAAATATATTTTTGTACAACTCTTTACAATCTGCTTCAACATCCCTAACTTCTAGAGAATCTAAAATTGTTTCCTCAACCCAGACTCTAGGATGAATATGTCTTTCAGATTGTGTTGGGGGTTTTATAATACAGAATCTAGAGAATGGAAGAGAGTTAAATTAAAACTGGGTAAGGCAAACAGTGACATGTTTCAAGAGAAGCAGAAAATGAAGGCTAGAAAGAGGTTGTTCAGAAATACTAAACCCAGCCTTAGTCTGAAATATTCAGACAGATCAAAACCTAAATTACAAAGAAATAAATTCTCAGTATGCATGAAGGGACTCCTTTGGGAAACAAATGGGCATGTAATCCTAGGAGTGTTCTTTGTGACACAGTTTGTGGAGGAATGAAAATAAACAATACAGCAATGGCAGACAGCAAAATCTATCACCACCAGACACTGGATGGCGTGGAGGAAAAGAAAAGAGTAAAATTAAAAGTCCTGTAATACAGAAGTCAATTACAGCACTGGAGAACTCACTCCAAAACCCAAATAAGCAATTAAATGAAAAAAATCCACAGAATATATCAACTTTGCCAACATGAAATGAAAAAAAAAATTAAGAATATTGTAAAGATGGGCCAATACTGCAAAACTGAACAAAAGTGATGTCAAATTCACACAAACTTCTAAAGACCATCACAAATTAAAAAAAATTATAATTCAATATCTTCAACAGAAGTATATTTACTACATACTTAAACAAGTATTTATGGATATGAAAAATATGTCTAGTCAGATACATAAAAACTACAAATGTACAGAATATTGACTAAACTGAGGAAAATATGGAAGAAAAATTTCAGAAATGAATTGATTATAAGATTCTCAAGATACCATGCACTAAAATAAAATTTATTAAGAAATATTAGAAAAATGGAAGTGATATGATAAAATGAAAATGATAAAAAGAAAGAAGCAAAGAGGTCATAGTGCCATACAAATACTAGCCAGGCAAATAACTTGTGATATTAGCATTACTAGAGACTCTGAAAAATAAGAAATAAAATAGAACAGCGCCAATATTTAAACTGATTACCCAAGAAAACATTCAATAATTATAACAATGCCAGAATCTATATATTGAAAGGGATTTCCCACTACCAAAGGAAATTGCCATATTATAATCATCTCTGAAAAGTATTCTGGGAAATCTATTTAATTTCATAGTTGAAGACAAAATTCTTGAAGTCTCCAGGCAAAAACATCAAATAACTTCCAGTGATAAAAGAACTGAGGTAGCGATGAACTTTTCGAAATCAACATTTAAATAAGGCAGTAAGAGAAGAGTATTTCTATAAAATGTAGGGACCAAACTGTGAAGCGAGAATTTTATATATGTCCAATGGTTCTTTAAAATCAAGACTTTAGAAAAACTAAAACTAAAGAAACAAAATTTAGGAAAGACTATATCAGTCTTCCTTCTTGAGGAACATTTCTCATTTTATTACAAGAACTATAAGGAGACACAGACCTACAACATTATCATTTCTGATATTTCTAGTTTTTAAGTCACATATGGAATCCTCAGAAATGCTATTTTATATTCAGAAATATTACTTCTATTTCTGCTTTTTAAAATATTTATTTAATTTGATTTCTCTTTCTAATGGTACAGGTTTGTCTCAAACTGTCAATGAATCTTGATAATTTTCTCATCAAAAAGACTATAATTAAAAAGTTATATTGGTTAAGTTTCTCTAGAGGAACAGAATCAAGTTTATATCTCAATATCTTAAACCTAATTATATGCTACGTATAAAATTATATATAAAATTATGCAGGGGAATTTATTAGGTGGAGGTACAGGGTCCGAGGTGACAGCGCCCACAATGCCATCTCATGCCAGAACAGGAACAAGAGAGATAAAGGTGTAGTGTCTGCCCAAGACCGAGGGTCTGGAGGGTCCCTGGGGAGTGGCCAGGGTAATATCCTGAATTAGACCCAGTTCCCTGGAAAAATAAACTGTCTCTCTATAAAAGGGAATGAGTCAATCTATGGAAGTTGCTTGCTTACTTGTGAAGTAACACAAATCAAGACACCTCTTTTTTGTTTTCCTAAAAAGACAATATATTTGGAATAGTCTGCCATGTAAAATAGAAAATGCTTCTGGAAACTAAAACAAAGAAAACTGAATCCAGGAAATGAAGTATAGTTATACACTATAGTTATATACTTATACTGTATAAATGAGTTATACAGGTTATAAAAACAAAGCAGACAAAATTCCATCCTATTAGAAACAAACGTAAATCAAGACCAATCTCTTTTTTTCAGCTCCAAGACATAATTGACAAAAATTAGATATATTTAAGATGTACAATGTGATCAATGTACAATGTGATCAATGTACAATGATTTGATATATGTATACACTGTGAAATGTTTACCATGATCAAGCTAATTGATACATCCATCCTCTAACAGTTTTCTTTTTCATCAAAAGGGGTGAGAAGTCCTAAGATATCTTCTCTTAGCAAACTGTAAGTATACAATATTAATAAGTATAGTTAATGTGTCATACATTAGATCCTAAGATTCTGTTCAGCTTATAACTGAAATTAGTATCCTTTTTCTACCTGCTAAGACTTTGTGATCTTTGAGTTACTTTTTAGAATCCAAACAGTTGTGATATCACACAGCAATGGTCTATTTGCTTTATTTTACTTAGTGTAAGGATTATTTCTGTTGATTTATTTTTCTGTTTGTTTTTATATTTGATATGTTTTCATTTTAAAGAAGCTAATGATGTTCTAAATTTTATATATACATATATATGAATGAGAGATACTGATAAAAATGTATACACACTTTTCAGCAATTTGGCATAGTAATAAATGTCTGGAAGCTAATAGATACCATTTTGAAGAGCTCTTGTAATTGTAGGCCAAAGGTAACTTGTATTAACTTCATGACATCTCAATAAATTTAGTATTAAAATATTTATGCAAGTTTCTTTTCCTGATGCATCCATTTTATGGAGGGCTCTGTAATTCTTTTCTTCTCAAAAACTCAGAATCAAATCAGGCCAAGTCAACATAAAACATTAAAAGGTATGAATACGTTTCTCATCCCCATTTTATTATTGTAATTTTATTATTCAACATAATTCAAAATTCTGATATCTATAGAATAGCATTCTAGATAAGCCAAGTGAATCATAAAGGGAAATGCAGTAGAAGTCATTTAAAATAGCAGGATGTTTTACAGACTGAATAATATCCCTCTGTGTGTGTGTTTGTATCACATACTATTTATCTATTCATCCCATCAACAGACATGTGTAAGACTTGAATAAGCTAAAGTGACTCCATGCTAATAGGCCTAGACTGTGCTTCTTCATATGCTAATTGCTACCTTGGCTAACAGCCCTCCCAGGGCAAATGGTATGACAAAAAAAAGGTGAACCTAGAACATTTCCTGCATAAGATAAGCAATGTGTTTGCAGTCTTGTTCTGTGAATTCCCTGACTCTTTGTTTAGAAAAACCTTATGAAAAGCACCTCAGCTCCTGAGCAGTTGCCTCTCTGAGCTACCTGGCTCGGGGAGTGCCATCTGGCCAGACTAATAAAGGTCTATTTACCATCTAGCCTGGTGTGTTCCCTCCTGGGTTTCTTGTTTCTCTGTCGAGCTCCCGGAGCCTAGCTGGGTGTTAGGGCCCAGCATGGTGGAGGCCGTTTTGGCTGTTCACGCTCTGTGGAGTGGAGGTGAGACTTTAAGTCTTACGGATGTCCATAATGTGGCTATCATGAATAATGCTGTGATAAACATGAGTATTTCCTGAGATGGCTTATTTCCTTTGGCTGTTATACCCAGAAGAATTGCTGGGCCACTCCTAGTTAAGGAAAAGAAAAGAAGAACTTGGTGTTACCAGAAGCCAGGGGTTGATATAATGACGAGAACTGGGCCTCACCAGAGAAGCAGAGCTCACACATGGTGTGATTCTTGTAAGGAAGCCCCTAGACAGAGAGGGAAGAGAACTTTTTCCCACTGTTTGTGTCTTCGCCTGCAGGCTCCTCCCAGTGATGCCCAGCCAGACACAGGTGACAGCAGGATCTGGAAAGAGTGTGTTTTGAGTTACACCATCGTGACACAGAGCACTAGCAGGGGAAACAAGAATGCACTTGACAGATGACAGCTTGGGCACAGTGCTATCAATTCCATTTTCTGCCAAGTTGGCCAAGGCTGCTGCGAGGCAGTTTGCCCTTCCAAGTCCTCACAAGCTTCCCAGGTCTCCATGGTAGGCAGCAAGCCTCCATTTTAGTGCTGCATGTGTGGTTGTTACTGTAAGCAACCCTGATGAATAACTGCATACAGAATCAGTATTCTTGTGAACTTACGTAAGTTTTGATTAAACACAAGAAAGTATTCATTTTAGCATAAATTTATAGGTGGAGGCCAAGAGTGATGAACTAAAAAATAGCATATTGTAATCTGGATAATGTAATTGAATAACATTCAATGAATTTGTAACTAGAAATAATAAAGAGAATTATGAAATATTAATAGTGGAAATTAAAATCATAATTAAAATCATGCATATTGTTTTGAGTTTACTTATACACCTGACAACTCAGTTAACCATCAATTTTTTTTCCAGTAGTGGGGATCGAACTCAGGACCTTGCACTTGAGAGGCAGGTGTGCTGCCACTGAGGTAAATCCCCAGCCCCAAGTTAACTGCCAACTTTAAAGGGAGACACTACTATGAGACCAGGTGTGGCACACTAAATAATGCTTTTGGAAAATGTCTATATCTTAATCCTGGGAACCTGTGAGATGGCACCTTACATGATTTGTCTACCCATGAAGAAGGATAACTCATACCTTGTGTGATGGTCAGTGGTGATTGTCAAATTAACCAGAGTAAGAGATGCATAACAGATTGGTATCACACACTTCCAGATATGTCTGCAGTGCTTTTCCCGAGGTGATTGGCATGCAGACCGCCAAACTGAGCAGGGGAGACCTGCCCTGATTATGGGTGGCACCATCTAATAGGCTTGCTGCACAGGTAGATCAAAAGGGAAGAAGGAAGAAGTTGGCTTTTCTCCCCTTTGGAAAGCTCTGTTCTTCTCAGATAGGTGTGTCTTTTTGTGGACCTCAGACTCCAGCTTCATCAGCCTTTGTGTACTTTTTTGCCGCTGTGTCTGTGATTTCAAATCTTTATCTAAAAAATTGCCCAGACCAAGACTATAACATTCTCTCCTCCATGTTTTCTTTGGTGTTTTCATATTTCCAGGTTTTAGATTTAAGTATTTAACTCATCTTGAATTATTTTTATATACAGTGATAAATAGTGTCCTACTTTCATTTTTTCTGCCTGCAGACATCCTGTTTGCTCAACACCAATTTTTCAAAAGACTCTCTTCTCCTCTGTGTGAGTTCTTGTCACTTTTGTTGAAAATCAATAGGATTTGTTGGATTTATGTGTATGGATTTATTTCTAGGCTTTCAATTCTACTCCATTGGTCTATATATAGCCTTTTATTTCTTCCAGTTCCATGTTATTTGGGTTTCCATAATTTTGTAATATATTATTTTCAAAGACAGGTAAACTTCACTATGTAAGAAGTTAAAAGTAAGAAAAATTTCTAACAAGAAAAATATTAAAATGTTAGGGTATTGGAGACTTTTACCTTTTGGGAGAGACAATTGCTACAATATTTATTATTAGTAATGAATTTACCAACTCTGTCTAAAACGAAACTTTGGTCCATGAAGTGAGAATTCAGGGTATCCTATTTACTGCTACCTTCTTAGGATCCAAAATAGTTCCTGGAACATACCAGCTTCTCATCTGTTAAATAAATAAAACAAAGTCACTTCAGTAGAAATATAGGCAAAAGAAAACAAAATATTACTGAAGAATGGTCCATAAACACAAAAAGAATGTCCACATTTAAAACTTACAAATACAAATTGGAAAAGAGGTCTCATATGGTCTATAAGACTGGCAAAGCTTAAGAATCTTAAACTCCTTTAACTTTTGAAAAGTATTTTAATAATTCTCTAAAAATTTTAAGCATTTTTTTAAGACAAGGTTTTACTCTGTTACCCAGGCTCATCTCTACCATGTGAGCTCACGTGATCCCAGCTATGTAGTATATACTTTTAAATAACTAGTGTGATGTCTGTAGTTTTATTTTCTTGGGGTTTTTATTGCTTTAATTATTTAATTGTTTTTGTGGTTCCATATATATTGTAGGATTGCTTTCTCTACTTTTGTAAAGAATGTCATTGTTATTCTGACAGAAATTGCATTGAATCTATAGATAACTTTCTGTAGTACGCACACTCTTCTAATCCACGGACAGTTGTATATTTTTCCATTTATATGTGACTTCTTCAATTTTTTTCATAACTATTTTAGAGTTTTTATTGTATAAATCTTTCAACTACTTGCTTAAATTGTCCCTAGATGTTTTATTTATTTTATGTAGGTATTTCAAATAAGATTATTTTCTGCATTTAATGTAGGATAGGTCACTCATCTTTGTATGTTGGGTTTCTTTGTTACAACTATAGTCATTTGTTTATTTGTTCCAATGAATTTTTCGTGGAATCTTCAGACTTTTTATATATAAGATTGTGTTGTCTATAAGAAGGGACAATCCAATATCAGTTTTAAAATAGAGATGCCTTTAATTTCTTTTTCTTGCTCAATAGCTCTGGCTAGGACTGCTAGTAATTTGTCAAGTATTGAAAGTAAGCATCCTTGTTCTGTTCTAGACCTTAATGGGAAAGCTCTTAACTTTCCTCACATAGTATGATACTAAATGTGAGGTTTGCATGTATGGTCTTGTGTTGGGGTGCATTCTCCTATATCTAATTTGCTAAGAGTTTTTATCATAAAGGGATGTGGGATTTATTAGATTTTTTTCTGAATCCATTAGAATGATGTTTCTTGCCTTTCTTTCTCCCAATATTTTTTACATGAAATAATTTATCATTCATTGATAGAATTTTTCTTTAAAATACACTACACTACATGTATTATGTGATTAATGTGCATAAATAGAGCATGCAAAGAAGTACGTTATGGTTAAGTTTCTGTAACTTGAAGCTGTAGCCCTCCGGCCTCAGCCTGTTAGAGTGCTGGGATTACAGGTGTGTACCACCAAGCCTGGATAATAATATAGTTCTTGCAAACACAGGACTTGGTTGATAAAAGGATTAGTCCCTTATAAAATAATATCACAAAATGTAGCAGATGTTGTAACTACAGTTAGGGAACAAGAATAAAGAGTGGTGTGGGTCTCTGAGTATGGCTAAGAGATAGCTGGTATCATCATACTTCTTTCTCTGAAGATTGACTATAAAGTATGATTTTTCATAATTTAGAATGTGGTAGATTACTTTTTTCTTAAATTTAGGTAGATGGATGAATAACTTTAAAAATTCTCTTCTAGTTTGAGATTAAATTTATTGCATTACAAGGAAATTATTTTTATCCCATAAAATTAAAGAAAATGTAATTTCAAAATACCCGTAAAATAGTAGGAAATACAAGAAGAGGTTAGTGTCTTTTCTCATCATTTTGGAATTCAATTAAAGATAAAACATATTACAAAAGAACTTCAAAACCATGGAAATGTTATATGGAGACATGAGACCTACAGTTTATGTACACAATCTGTACCAGGAAGTCAAGGGGAGTACGTCAGGATCTTCTGAGAACTATAATCTCCATCTGTCAAGAACTACTATAGCCCAAAAGTCATGTGTGAAATTGAGTGGCTGTGCCTCCAGGAACTCTGGCTGTGTTTTCCTGCTAGGAAGGCCTGGGGGCACCAAAGGCTCAAGATCAGAGGTGTGAGAGATCCATAGGCAGTGGAAAAATGGGGAAAATCTAACTACCAGAGCCTTAAAGATTGTATGGGTTCAAACAGAATGACAGGGAACACGTGTGGATTGTCAGTTAAGTGGTTAAAGATTGGGGTTATATATACGATATGGATATAATGAGTTTACCAGACTCCAGACCCAGGGAGGGGAAGAAGGGCACAGGAGACAGCATCGTGTTGCACAAACTGCTAAATCCCTGACCCTAGTGCCTTACAATGGGACTTCCTTGAAGATGGGGCCCATAGAAGAGGTGAATAAGTCAAATGAGCCCATTAAGCGAGCCCTAGTCCAATCCAACTGATGTCCCTAGAAGAGAAAGTGAGAAAGTTGGGAGACGTGGAGAGAAAGCAGAGGCAGTTACAGGTATGCAACAGGTGATTCAGTGAGGTGAGAGCAAGAGGCCATTTCCAAGTTAGAATGAGAAGCTTCTGAGGAAAGCAGCCCTCTGGTTCTTGTTCTTGGACTTTCAGCCTCCGGGATTGTGAGATAAATTTTTATTATGTAAGACACCCAGTTTGTGGCACTTTCTTATAGTATTAACTTAATACAATATTTAGTGCAATATGTCCCATATTTGGGCAGCATGGCATGAAGCTGCTGAATTTCACCTCTACGTCCTGATTTGGAAAGTGAAATGGCTCCGCAGGGGCGTTCGAAAAACTCCCACATATCCTAGGCTGTGCTGATGTCTGTATACAGAGAACAAGTAGACTTTGGTATTTACATTGATTAATGGTTTTATGGTTTTCCATGTTTCTTTTTCTATTCTTTAGCCTAATGATAAAGCAGTCTTAAAACTTGACAAGGCTGTTATGAACCTGTCTTAAAACTTCAGTGTTTTGCTGTTGAAAAAAAACTTTAAATGAAACTTAGTTCTAACTGTGTACAATTCATGGACAAATGGACTGATATTCATCAAGGAACTTATAAGTGTTTTAGTAGAAAAAAATGATCACCCAGTATTTATATATAATAATTGGATTCATTGTTTTTTAATCTCAAACTGTAAAAGGAAAGAAAGTTGATAATATTTATCATCAAGTGAGTAAATAAAAATGAAGATTAGCATTTTTGTGCTGATTGACATATCATTTCATTTTTGTAGAATACAGCATTATCCCAATAAATAATTACATGAATTTTCACACACAGACACGAAATACTAGGTAAAATTTAGAAAATGTTAGTAAAAACCAATTTCTTTTTATTTTCATTAATGAGAAATAATTCATGAGCTGAGTTTTAACATGTCTTCTTTTAACATCTATAAGCATTTTCTTTTGTGAATATTCCAGTGGAATTTATGTTCTGTGAGATTAAGCATATTTATTGTTTTCTTCATTACATTTCCCTTGAGCCTAAAAACATGTATAATACCCAATTCAGATTTTAATAATTAGTAGTAGAATTAATAAAGAATCACAAATGAAACACATTGTCTTGAGTAAAAATGCAAACAGCTGGGTGAGGAGGTACAAGCTTATGGTCCCTGCTCCTTTTAGGGAGGCTGAGGCAGGAGGATCATTTGGGCTGAGCTGGAGACATTGCAAGACCCCATGTCAAGAGAAAAATGAAAACTGGAGAAGTTTATAAAGTAAGAAGAGTTTTGCATTCCTACCCTTCTTTCCTTCATTCTCCAGAATAAAGCCGCACTTGACAACTTAATATATATTCTTTTACATGTGTCCTGGGTATCTGCTGCCTCCTCAGCAGAGAAACAATGGATAAATAAAGAAGTCATTGCTACTTCTGATCCACAAAAACAAAGTTTTATGTCTGAGGAGAAGCGTGATCATCAATCCATGCCATCTATTAAAGGCATCTTGTCACATTTAATTTAGGGTTCACATTTGAAACTTCTTTGTTTGCCCTGCACATACCACGTTTACTTTCAGAAATAATTATCAGGAGCTTAATATTTCAATATATTTGTCAGAGTCTTTTGGATTTGCATTACAAAGGTTCGATGCAGTAGTTCCTAATTCTCCAGGGAATTAGACTTATGAGAGTCTGCAATTTTGATTTCCCTATCCTTGATCAAGTCAGTAAATCCCCAAAGTTTCTTTTGTTTTCATGTAAGAAAATTTTATGATTTAAGCTTGACCCTCACAAACATAGACCCTAAAGGTAGTGAAGACATGTCATTCTTGGAGGGAGTGGGGAGATGCAGTTATACAAAAATCAAAACCTACTTTAATTTTGTTAGCGATACTACAATCCCTGTCCTTCAGCATGGAAAGTAGAGTCTTGCACAAAATGATTCCAGGAAAGAATGAGAGCATGTCAATACACAGATTGTAAGCTCATATGTAGTAACTAATATTACTCTGAAAAAATTGTCACTAGTCCTATCAAAAGAGAAACAATAGTCTTTATAAATTGACATTTTAGTGTGAAAATAATGCATTATTTCTTTTGATGAAAAATGCTACTTTTGTACAAAGAGATTACATGTTGCATGGCCAAAAGTCAGAATGGAGGCCAATGACCTGAAAGTACCTCTCATAAAGCAGACAATTACTAATTTTTAGGATATCATTCATCACTTAAATTGTTTGATTGCAAGAGGCTTCAGATGGTTAAATTATTCAAAATATCACATAATCTCAGCACAGGAAGACATTTTCAAATTATCTAGTTTAACCTTTTTTTTTTTCTTTTCTTTTTTTTGGTACCGGGGGTAGAACTCAGGTCCTTGCACTTGCAAGGCAGGCAGCAGAACTGCTGAACTAAATCCCCGGCCCTAACCTCTTCAATTTATAGTAGCACAAAGAAATTTTATATTTTCCATACACACTATTACTGGTCAATTTTTATGCCATACCTCAAGAAACAATGAATTACTTTGAGTCAGGCAAATACTTGTGCTATATATCGAAGCTGGCCCTAATGCTTTGGCATTTATGCTCTAAACTGGGTTCCTCCTTTCACTTATACGGAAGGTTAGTCACCACACCTGCCCTCTTCAAGTTTCTGTCTGGAATTGACAAAAAACAGATGAATGGATAAAAGCACACAAATTTTACCTAGCAATTTTTACATGTACCTGGGATCCCTCACAAGAAAATTGAAGAGCTGAAAGGTCTAGGCCCAAGTTTATATAGCACTTAAAGGAATATGAATTATTTGAATGAGGCACATCTGTATAAATTTCTCTTAGCCTTACTTTCGCATTTGTGGGGATAGAGAGGGCATCTTACAATTGGAAAATGGAGTTTATACTTACCTATTTATAGAGTTTACTAAAGGAATGAAGTACAATTTAAATTTAACATTAATCTTTATAACAATTCAATTTCTTCCTTAAAAATGGAAAAGTATTTTTTTAAGAAAACGTCACTTCATTAAACTTTTACAATTGCTTCATTGACTTCAATTTTGCCAAAGATCTCCATGTACATCTTACTGAAAGCACAAACATAACAGAGATGGGATTAATGTTTACATAAAATGTACCATTACTTCACCGTGTAGAACTTCTAACAAAGATTATTAAAACACGAAATATTTAGATTCAAATATCTCATTGTTATTTTATACAAGCCAGGAGATAATTTAAAATGGGTCAAAGGTTGATTCATTCAGCAGTGAATGAAACCACCATTCACATTTTGTGTGGTTTGCAGAATTTTAGCATTGCTGTTACCCATAAACAGACATTTCTAAATGGATTAGAGAGTAAATATAATTATTTTCACACCACTAACTTATTATGTAAAGAACCTTTGTGTGCGTTACTTTTCTGTTTTGTGAATAAATGATTACAATTATGAGAAAAGACTATTACTAATTCAAGGGTTTTCAAAATGTCCTTTGGATAGCAAAGAATTAGGGCTTTTGATTTACTGCTTCCTTCAGATTTAGTTTGTTCTGCCTTTCCAGCTTCTTAATTGGAGATTTAGATTATTTAACAACTTTTATTTTTTCTAATGTAAGCATTCAAAATGTCTCTGCTTATACAATGTTTTAATTCTCATAATTTTTGAAGTTTATGTTTGTATTTTTTATTTAGCTTTACATATTTTTAAAAATTTACTTGTTTCTCTTTGACCTTTGTCTGACTTATATAGGGAGTTGTTTAATTTCTGTGTGTTTGAGAATTTCCAAATTATTTTCTAAATTACAGGTCAAATTACTTTCTGATCCAAGAATATACATCATATTATTTCTGTTTAAAGAGAAATTATGGAGGTGTGAAAACTCCTTGTGCACTTGAAGAAACATTGTATACTGCTATTCTAGGTTGTGAACTTGTCATTCAAGTCTAGTGTTGATAAAAGTAAATGTTAATTCTTGCTTCAACTCAGATATAGAACAAACTATTCTCATTCCTACAGCAAGAAAAAGCGAGATAAACTGAAAATCAACCACTTTTCTTAAGCTTTACAAAGAAAAAATTGCACCAAACTTAAAATAGACAGAGAAGGCTTTAAGATTTTTTTTAATAGAAGGAACTCAACTGCTAAAAGAAAGGGCTGGAAAGTTGTAAAGGCTGGGGCATTGGGAACTTCAGGATATCTGTGGTTGGTTGTTGCCCTTATCCAAAAGGAAAAAGTAAATTTTCTGCTAACTTCACACTAACGGGTGCTTTTAGTTGTTGGAGCCAAGTAACCAAGAATGGCTCCTACTATCCTGAAACACCGGGGTACGCAGATTTTCTCTCTCTATGAATGCATTTCTTCAAAGATATGGCTTCCAGGTACTTGAGAAAGATATTCCTGGACTGAAAAATTGGTTAGAAAGTTTTATTTATATTTATATTTTTAATTTCAAACAGAATTTATTTCCCTCTCAGCTAACCCTTTGAGGAAATCGTGGGGGGTGGGATCTGCCAACAGATCAACACAGTTAGCCGGTCTCCTGCTTCCTTTGTTCATACTGTTCTAGCGTCTTTCAGCACAGTGAAGCCAAAGAGAATTTTCTGTAGTGATGGGATATTTATTCTACCTGTGGCTACTGCAAAGTTGATAGACTAAATATTTCATTTTATTTAATTTTAAATGGTTACTTAAGGAATCACACGAGGCTAGTAGCTGTTGTATCTGACAGCACAGTTCTAGAGCTTTAGTTTGTTTATTTACATATTTGGGATTGCAGCACTGGGGTACTATGGATTTAAATCAGGACCTTCACACTGAGTTATATCCCCAGCCTATTTGTTTGTTCATTTATTTGGGTACATAGTCTTGCTAAATTGCTGAATTGTAAAGGCTTGTACTTGTGATCTGTGGTCTCAGCCTTCTAGACTTCTACAGTTACAGATATTTTCCATCATGCCTGGCATTTTTTTCTGCTTTGTTTTCAGCTTTTACTGAGGTATAATTGGCAGTGTTCAAGGTGTACAAGGTGAGGTTTTAATATATGTATGATGTATATGTAGTATGCAGTAATATCTCAGTTCACAAATTTTTCAAGTTACGAACAATTTGGTCAGCAAACAGAAGCATTCAGCAAAAATTTTCATCCCTTTGCAAACTGTGCCTCAAGTTATGAATGGACAAGACCTTGGCCACCTTCCCTTACATGAACACAAATGTAGTCATCAGTACAATGATAAGTTCAATATCGACCTTATGAGGAAATTTGATTTGGTTTTCACCAATTCTGCTTGTGACCAGAATCATGGAAGGAATAAAGTTTGTGAACTGAGGTACCCTTGTACAACACAATCAAGCCAATTGTCATATCCATCACCTTACATGGTTCCTTTTTTTTTCTAGTGAGAATATTTAAGGCTTATACTTTTAGAAACTTTTAAATATAGAATAATGCTGTTATTAACTCTAGAACCATGTTCTTCATTAGTTCTCTGGAATGTATTCATCTGATCACTGCAAGTTTGTACCTTTTAAAAAATAGTTTTTGTTTCTATCGCTTTGGATCCTCAGCATGATCTCACTTACGTGTATGATCTACAAGGTCAGTCATAGAAAGAAAGTAGAAGAGTGGTTAACAAATAGCCAGAGGCTCTTTACAAAGATTTATATTTCAAAGGGGAAGAGAAATAACTTGCAGCTTTTCTGAGGGAACCTTGCTGAGGAAGGACATGGCCTGAAGGAAAGACGAAGCCTGTGCAAAGTTTAGTGAAAAAAAAAAAAAAAAAGACAAAGAACAAAAAAATTTTAAAAATCCCAAACTCTAAGGTCTAATTATATCTAGGACTCTACAAGATTGTGTGGAATATCTGTATCACTCGTTTGGTGAAAATAAGCAAATTTGGGCTAATATGAAGTAATGCAACCCCAGGCTTCTTTCTCGTTCCTTCATGATCAGTGGGTTATTTTGTACCAATGTTTGCTTAGCTGACAACTCAGATTTACTGTGATAAATTGCACAGATATGTTAGGAATAGTGTAAAAGGGGTACAGGCATAGAAAACTTTCCGTACTACTTTCAAAACTCATCTATAAATTCACAACTACTTTAAAATAAAATTTTATTTTTAAAAAATGTACATTTAATGGATTCATTAAACTACCATACAAAATTATGAAAAACAGACACAACATTCTTCTAGTAGAAGCAACATCTTTGAACATCTGCAGTCTCCAAAATAGAGGGACCAGAGTAGTCAATGACCTCAACTGCATACCTATTGTCTGATCTATATAATTAATATATATATTTAATTTCCTCTGTATTATTATTTTACACAGGTAACGTTAATGTAGATTTCATAATTTGATAAACTTTATGCTTTGAATATGATCCCAGACAGAAGTCTTGTAACAAATAACCTTGTTTTGGTACACTTATTTTTATCAGCATGTTTGTTTTTAAAGCAGAGAAAAACTTAATGAAAACAATTATCAATGTCCTATATTTTATAAAAATGTTTATAGTGATAAATATGCCAAACAGACATTCAGTATACCAGAAAAATCATACCTTTTTAATGCAGTAAAGATGCAGATGTGATTGCTTAATTTTGTATGTATATAGAGAAATATTAATTTCTATCTACATAAAGCATTATATTTCTAAATGTTTTATGATATTTTTATTGGGAACTTCTCAAGCAAGTCTTAAAATTAGGTTTATGTCACTCTTATCTATTTTATTGAATTATTCTCAATCTGTTTTTTCCCTATCTCCACTGAATTATGGAAATAGTAGTTTGGCAAAGATTTATACAACAGTGAATGAGCCGGCCAAAGTGGCTGAGATGAAGCAAGTATATGATTCTGGTCTCATCCGCATGTCTGACTGCGGAAGTGAAACATGAAGTAGGGCTGTTGCCCTCGACGCTGTGTTTTACAAAGATATACCACTGAAATAAGATTCCAGAAGCAATGACTTCAATTGTGATGCTCTAATATGCTTTTGCATGCTCAATGTATGTCTGTTTGAAAAAAATAAGATTAAATAAATGGATAACTGCATTATTTTTCTGATCAATTGAAATTCTAATGTTCATTTCTGTTATGACAGATAAAGGAAATGGGGATTTTTTAATGAAATGGAGCACTACTCAGCCATGAAGAATGATAAATTAGAGACATTTATAGCTAAATGGATGCACATTGAGTTGATACTCTTAAGTAAAATAAATAGCAAATACTTATTTGCTGGTCTATACAGTTCATTATTCTCTCATCAGCACCCATTCCCATTCCTACTTTCACTCAGCACCATTCTTTTTTCTCATAGTCTAGTTGTTAATTTCTTCCATTTTTTAATCTTTTTTTTTTTTTTGTACCGAGGACTGAACTCAGGACCTCACACTTGCAAGGCAGGCAGCAGAAAGACTGAGCTAAATCCCTGGCCCATTTTTTTCTTTTTGAAAACTCTATAAATCTATAAATCTATGGGGTCCATATTTGAAGTTACGTTTCTCTCAAGAGAACATAGTCCAGATAGCTATACAGGTTTTTTTCTGAAATTTATTCATTTATTATACTGCATTTAAAAGACTTAAAGGTGTTGTATTGCTGATAGTTTCTTAAAATTAATTTTATTGGTACATTTTAGGTATACAGTATAATGACCATCATCATTGGAGATTTGCACCTTTACGTAACATATCTTGATTCTCACTTTTTCCCCAATTCCCCTACCCTCCCTTCAACCCCTCCACCCCTCCCCATGTGCAAAGACTTGGTTTCCATTTATTCATTTTGTTATATTAATTCCAGTCCCTTCATTCCTTTCTCATACCCCTCCCACTTCCCCTTCCCCTTTGCGCCTTTTCTTCCTATTTCACATTATCTATTATAACTTATAGTGTCCTTATTGACACTTTTAGTTTCTCACACCAGAGAAACTATTTAGTATTTACACATTTGTATCCTATTTATTTTACTTGAGTATCACCTCAATATGCATCCATTTAGCAATAAATGTCTCTAATTTATCATTCTATATGGTTAAGTAGTATTCCATCCCCATTTTCTTTATCCAGTCTGCAGTTGATAGACAGTTGGGCTGTTTCCAATTTTTAGCTATTACAAACTGTGCCACTTTAAACATGGGTAAGCATATATCACTGTGGTATGATTCTTTTAATACTTTTGGGAAGATAACCAGCAAGGGTATAGCTGAGTCAAATGGAACTTTCAATATTATTTCTTTGAGGTATCTCCATACTGATTTCCACAGTGGTTGCACCAGTCTGCACTCCCACCAGCAGTGGAGCAGGGTTCCTCTATCTCCACATCCCCACCTGCATTCATTATTGGTTGATTTCATGATAGCAGCCATTCTTTCTGGGGTAATGTTGAACATTTTTACATATTCTTATTTGGTATTTCTAATTCTTTGTCTGAGAAATGTCTGTTCATTTCAGATGTCTATTTTTGGATTGGGTCTTTAAATTTAGGAGGTCTGATTTTTTTAAGTTCTTTATATATATTTGATAGTAGACCTTTGTCTGAGGTATAGCTGGTAAAAATGTTTTCCACATTGTGGATTATCCCTTCAAACTGTTGGTGGTTTCTCTTGCTGTGCAGCTTTTTTTTGGGGGGGGTGAGATAGGGTCTCATTATGTAGTTGGGACTGACCTGAAACTCACTTTGTAGCCCAGGCTGATCTTGATCTCACAACGATCCTCTTGCCTCAGCCTCCCGAGTGCTGGGGTTATAGGTGTGCACCATCATGCCCTGCCAGAAGCTTTTTAATGAGGTTATTATTTTTGTTTTGTTTTGTTTTTTGTATTGGGGATCAAACTCAGGATCTTGAGCTTGTGAGGCAGGTAGCAGAACCACTGAGCTAAATCCTCAGCCAGAAAGTTTTCAATAAGAAGAGATCCCACTTGTTGACTCTTTGGTGTAGTTCACGTGTAATTGAGGTTCATGAAATTTTTTCCTATGCCAATGTCTTCAAGCATTCTACCTAACCTCTCTTCCAGCTGGGTTAGTGTGTCTGTTTTAATATTTAGATCTTTAAACCATTTTGATTTCTGTTTACTGTATGATGAGAGATATAGGTCTAGTTTTAATCTTTGGTAAGTTGAAACCCAGTTTTTCCAGCACCATTTATTAAAGAGGCTATCTTTTTTCCATTGAGTGTGTTTGGCTCTTTTGTTGAAGATGAGGTTGCTGAGTGTGTCTGGAGTTGTTTCTGCATCTTCTAATCTGTTCCACTGGTCCTTGGGTCTGTTTCTTTGCCAGTACCATGCTGTTTTTATCATAGTACCTTTGTAGTATAGCTTCAAGTTGGGGATTTTGATATACCCTACCTTGACTTTGGTGCCTAGAATTCCTTTGCTATTCTAGGTCTCTTCTTGTTCCAAATGATTTTTTTTTTATTGTTTTCTCAAGGTCCCTGAAGTATGCTGTTGGAATTTCAATTGACATGGCATTGAATCTCTAGAGCAGTCTGGGAAATATGGCCATTTGCACAATGTTTATTCTTCTTACCCAGAAGCAAAGATATCTTTCCATTTTCTGATATTCTCTTTAATCTTTTTTTTCAGAGTGCTATAATTTTCATAGTAGAGAACTTTGATTTCTTTCATTTGATTGATTCCTAGGTATTTCACTTTTTTTGAATGTCATTGTGAAGGGAGTTGTTTCTCCAGTTTCTTTTTCAATGAGTCTGTTTTACTGTACAGTAAATCTATTGATTTTTTGTGTGTAGACCTTGGATCAAGCTACTCTACTGAATTGGCTACTGAGTATAGCAGACATTTGGTGGAGTTCTTGAGTTCTTTTCTAGAGAGTATCATTTCATCTGTAAATAATGACAATTTAATTTCTTCATTTCCTATCCATATTTCTTTCTGTTGTCTAATTACTGTGGCAAATTTTCCAAAACTATAATGAACAGGAATAGTGACAGTGGCTATCCTTGTCTTGTTCCTTATTTTAGTGTAAAGAATTGCAGTTTTGGACCAGTTAATATGATATCGGCTGTTGGTTTTTATAGATGGCTTTTTTTAGGTTGAGGTAGACACCATCTATTCCAATTTGCTGTAGGTTTTTTTTCTCTCATTGAGTTTATTGGTACATTTAGGTATACAGTGCAGTTGCATTCATCATTGGGATCTTGTACCTTTACATGACAGGTCTTGGTTCTCATTTTTTCCCCTTGTCCCTGCTCTCCCTTCACCCCCTCCTCCCCTCCCCATTTACAAACTCTTTATTTCCATTTTTCTTTTCCCTTATTTCCTTTCTGCAAATATTAGTTTTAAAGACTGCATATCTATCATCTAGTTTCATGCCTGCCACTTACTACTTATCTAACAGATAAATGCCTATGTTTTTCTTATTTTGTATTACTTGGTACCCGTGTATAAAGGTATCATATTGGTCATTCAAGAAGTTCATCTGCTACAAACTGCAAAAAATATATTAACTTTAGATCAGGACATATTAGGTAAATTTTTATTTTATATCTCATAAAAATTTTAAAGGTCTGAAATGTGAAAACAGATTAGAAGAAAGGACAAAACTACTGGATAAGAGTCACTGATCAAACATTACATGAACTCCTACTTCAGTGTTATAACTTTAAGTAATTAGAAGTTGACATCTTAAAAAGCTTGGCACACTAGTGCTAAAGTACACATATGAATAAGGAAATGAATACTTTGAAATCTTTAATGGAATTTGCTTTCTGGAGATATTTGTACAATTTTTATCAAATAATTTTTAAACATTAAAAGTTTTCAAATTAGCCAAACAAAAATTTCTGAGCAGATGAACATGGGTTGTTGAAATTCAATAGAGCAATAAATATAAAATTAAATTTCACATCCTGCTCACATTTTTATTAGATGTACTGTTGCTCAGATTACAGCAAAAATTAAAAAAGATTTACATCAAGTCAAAAGAGCAAATTTGTCTTTGAAGTAAAGGCAGTCTGCTGACATTTTAGTGTTTAAACTCCTTTTTTCCTGAACAGTGTGTACACTGTTTTACATTAAGAAGAAACTGTAACTCAATTATTAAAATCTCATTTCAGTTTATGAATTGAACACCTCTTTTTAATGTATGTAATCACAGGCTAATAATGTAACTTAAAATAGCTTTGTGCTTTAAAATATAAAGACATTTTTAAAAGTTCTCTTTGAAGAAAAAAATTTTGGAGAAACTTCTAAATTTTATTTTGATTCTCTTTATTTTAGTATATCTAAATGTGTACCCTATAATTTTACTCACTTTCCAAGCATAAAAAGAATTTCAAGGCAACTAGAATTTGAGGAATCTTAATCAAGAAAATAATTATATTTGGAAAATTGCTCAAGTTAATGAATAGTTGCATAGTTGGGTTCATCCTTTTAAAACTTAAATGTGCAGTTACTGACATGACCTAACTTCTAAAATACAGGAGAAATAAAAGTATGAGCCCCCAAGTTATTATATATAAATATTAATAATCCCATTATTCACAATAGACAGAAAGCTTAAGTAATGAAGTTGTCCATCAACTTCTGTATGAAGAAATGAAATATTATATATCCATAATTTAGAATATATTATGTTCACCAACATAAAGAAAACACTGGCAGAAGCACCAACATGGATAAATCTCAAATATTGCTAAATGAAAAATACCATAAAATGAACCTATTAGCTGGCTTGTTAAATGAATTTTCTAGAAAGATACAAAACCAGAGAGAAACTAGTTAAGTGATTGATTGGGATCAAGGATAGAAGACAGCTTTACTTGTGAAAAGGTAGAAGCAAATATTTGGAAAGGGGAAGTGTCTTACAGTTGCATTATGGGGATGGTTGCACAACTACATAAAATTCCTAAAAGTTTTCATATTGTACACTTAAAATTATATCATATACAATATTTTAAAAATTATGTTAAATTGTAGTAGAGAGAAGTGTTTGGAAACCTTTACATAGTCATACATACCAGATTGAAGAAATAAGAATACATTCTAGAGATTATCCATGACAATTTAGACTTTAAGTTGGAAAAATC